CCAGCCCCTCTCAAGGAGACTGGTTCCAGAACCAGAACCATGCGTTGAGGTGAGACCGACTATTTCTAGCCGGAACCTCTCAGCCTCGAACACTAGCTCCGGCTCTTTCCCCACCAGCGAGGTGACATTCCACGTCCCAAGAGCCAGCTTCTGCAGCCGAGGATCGGACCGCCAGGGTCCCCTCCCCCGGCCGCCACCCAACACACATTGCACCCGACCCCTATGGCCCCTCTCACGGGTGGTGGGCCCATGTAGGGGGGGACCCATGTTTCCTCTTCGGGCTGAGCCCGGCCGGGCCCCATGGGTAAAAGCCCGGCCACCAGGCGCTCGCCATCGTGCCCCCCCTCCAGGCCTGGCTCCAGAGTGGGGCCCCGGTGACCCACGTCCGGGCGAGGGAACGCTGAATCCAAATATTTTGCTCATCATAGGGGTCTTTGGGCTGCGCTTTGTCTGGTTCCTCACCTAGGACCTGTCTGCCTTGGGTGACCCTACCAGGGGCATAAAGCCCCAGACAGCATAGCTCTCAGGATCATTGGGACACTCAAACCTCTCCACCACGATAAGGTGGCAGCCCAAGGAGAGGAATGAATAAATGTGTGCTGTTCAAATTTGTGTTTGGGCTTATTTTTAGCTAAATACATAAACCTAAGAAAAGCCTTTAAATCCTGTAACTGCAGGTTGATCATCACCAACCCTTATAGCAGGGGAACCAATTAAAAATCATGGGGGTCCGAATAAAGAAAATCATCAACCAGTAAAGGTCTGGAGACATTTTTAATGATCTGTTACTTTAACACTGAAATAAAATGAGGTGTTTATGCATCTATGTCATACATTGAATTTTTTAATTAAAAAAAAAATTATATTTTAAAATGTAGTTTTTTTTTAAGTAGAGAACAACAATAGTTTGGTATACAGACAATTTCCTGATTACCATAGTTTAGAAAAGACCTGAACTGACCGTTTCTTTCTTTTTTCTGTCTTAATGTTGGCAGTGGGCTTTAGGCTGCCCTGCAAGGCTTTAAACCTGGGTTTAAATGGAGACTAAGCCATTCTCAAGCACATATCAAGGTGCTCATTTTGAGCCTGGATCCATATTTATTTTCGATTTTGTTCATGGTGGAGAATCCTGCTTCACAGCAGCAGGTTGAGCCAAACAGCCTCTAAATGTTCAGGCTCCGCTCCGGTCCGGGCAGGTCAAGATCCGCTATTGCAATCGCACCAAACAGGAAAAAGAACGGCGAGAAGATCCGGTTTGTCAGATTAAAATATAGTAACAACAGATTGATAACTACAAATTAGAGCATAATTCTTATATATTTAAAAAAAAACTAACACCATTTATTTAAAGGATTGGATGCAAACTATTGGTGCTTCAACAGACCAGGAAGCAGATTTCTCATCTCCATCAGAAACTGAACATCTGCTGGATGCTGATGGAGATTTTTTTTATATGTCAGATTAAATTAAGCGTTCATTTCTGCATGTTTTGCTCCTATGAATTTAATGATAATATTGAGCATGCTCTCCTAAAGCTCAGAGGATAAAGAACAGCGGAGGCTGTAGGCTTTGATTTGCGGCGGAGCAGTGATGGAGGATGTGGGATTTCAGGGTAACAGGAGAAGTGGCGCAAGTGACGTTTAGACACTGTCCTCAGACAACGTGTGGTAATTTATAAATGTTTTAAATCAGGCTGGGTCCGGATTATCCAACAGATGGATCTGGTTCCGGACCGCAGTCAGCTAATCGGTGACCTCTGCCTTATAGTGTCCCCACCAACTTTCATTACAAAGTTACACTCTTGATGAAAATTTATTTAAAAAAACAAAACAAAAACAAAAGTCTCTAAGGCTTTGCAAACATGGAAAATGTAACGTACCATGATAATAAAGACCAAGTACACATGAGATGCTGATCTTGCTCTCTTTGTAGTTTTCCCAGAGCATTGCATAGTCTTGGAGTGAATTTGGGAAATAGCCAATACCAGGAAGAGCGGTCACTGTTAAAAATGTCCTGACATTTTCAGAAAACCTGACCCAATCTCCAAGGAGGCAGGATATTCTTATTTGCATTACTTTATAACTACAAGTTTAACACCTCCTGGCTACTTGCCTGCTCCTGTTCCGTACTGTTACCTGATATTAGCATTAGAGCTGAACAATTTAGCCAAAAATGAAAAGTGGGATTATTTTAAACCAATATTGCATTGAGATTTTATTTCGATTTTCCTTATCATTAACCAAAATCATGTAAATGTTTCACTACAGCATATCAGTTTCTTCATGACCTGGAGAGCTTGCTTGTCCAGAGTCCATTGTTGCAGGACTTTACTGTAACTTCTGCATGCTAGCTGCACCTCTCTCTTCCTTTCTGTGTGGTTGCAAACCCACTTTAAGCATATTACCGCCTGCTAAAGGGCTGTAGGGATAAATCTTTCTACCTACTGTTTAAATGTAACATGACCAATAGTGATGGCCTCTTCGATTTGAAAATTACCTTTTGTTATATTGCGATTATATTGAAAATGCTATTTATTGCCCAGCCCTAGTTAGCATATTATGCAACAGACTGGCCACCTATCTAGGGTGAACCCCGCCTCTCGCCCGTAGACAGCTGGAGATAGACACTGGCCCCACAGTTCGGAAGAGGATTAGGGCCAATGAAAAAAAATAAAAAAGTTTAAAGTTTTATTTCAGTTTAACATGGGAAAAAAAGTCAGAATTCTGACTTTTTTTCTCAGAATTCTGACAGATAACAAACATGTTAGCATCAAGCCATAGCCATGTCTGTTTTAGAGATTAGCTCTCTTGTTTTAATGACCTTCTGCTCCTCCATTAATGAGGGCACGTAAAAAGTTGCCTAATTCCGTCATTTTCCACCAATGTGCCACTGGCCACCTCAAACAACTCACATCTTTGTCAGTGAAGCTGAGTGCTCTCACATCTCTTCCTTCATGGTGCCCATCTACACTAAGATCCACAATTCTGAGATTAAAGTCAGAATTCTGAGAAAAAAGTCAAAATCCTGAGATTAAAGTCAGAATCCTGAGATTAAAGTCAGAATTCTGACGTTTTTTCCCATGTTAGACTGAAATAAAATTTAGAAATCAGTTAACTTTTTTTTTTTTTCAGTGGCCCTAATCTTCTTCCATACCACAGCCACCCTGACAAATATTAAGCTCAAAAAAATGGATGGATGGATAGTTAGAATATTAAAGCTACAGTGTGTAATTTTCAGCGACATCTAACGTCCAGACTGCAGACCGCAGCAACATGAACATCTCCCCCCCACCGCTTCTCCCCCCCAACAGTACGGCAAGCGTTAGGGGACAAAATGTCTTCCACGACGTCGGAATCACCTACCTTCTCAAGTGATGAGGTTTGTTTACATAGATAATTTTACAGATAGTATTTCATTAGTCTGTGTAGGGTATAGATTTCATGTAGACTTTAGATAATAAATATACCCGTTATTTTTTCTACATCGTTGTGACGTTTTGGTGAGCTGCTTTGCATGGTGATATAAACAGACGAAGGAATTGTAGTCATTAGTTTAACAGCAAGATTGTGTTCGCTGGAAGAATATATATTCCCCGTTTACAGAGTCCAAGTCTTGTTTGTGGCACGGGGGTTACAAGGCGAGGAAGAGGGCGAGGGCAGAGAGGCCGGGGTGGGCGTGCAGCTAGGGCCAGGCGAGGGAGGGGAGCCAGCGGGGTGAGAGCAGAGGAAGAAAGGCTTGAAGATCTCCAAAGGAGCCGGAGAGAAGTAACCGAGGTATATATCCAGAAAATTATTTTACAGAAAATTACTGAATCATTACCTGTGAAACGTCAGGGACGTTGCTGAATAAGTATACTGGAGAGTAACAGCATCATCACGCAGCATGTTATTGTTTTAGACAGGTCTGAGCATTCTGTACTCCAAAAACTGCAGTGATATTAGACAATTGTGTGTGTAGGATTATTTACCTGTCCAAGAGAAAACTGGCAACTTGAGCGTCACTTTGAAAACCTTTTTCCTCCATCAGTGACTTCCATCGTGTAAATGCCGTGCCAATGTTGATCCGTGTTTTTTGTCGTTTCTTGTCACGCTTGCGTTTATTCTCGTCGTGTTTCCGCTTCTTAGATGACGGGGGTTCGGTGTCCGCCGCTTTTCGTTGTGATACAAAGTAGGCACGATCCTCCATTCGTCTGATGTTTGGCCACACAGTGCCAAACAGTTTGCAAAGTCACTCGCGCCTGCCGCCTTGTTCACCTTTCTTGTTACTGAGGCGCAGTATACCTGCTTCTTCTTCTTCTTTGGTTTCAGGCAGACTAAACGCTTCTCAGGCATAGTACTGCCATCTACTGTTCAGTACCGTCTCAGTTAATCTCTCTCAACTTGCCGTAGTTATTTTCGAGCGTAATGGGCGATCTCGCAATCGCTAGTTTGTTGCCTCTGCGCTTGCCGTAGCGCAAAGATGTCAGCCTCCATGGCTGCGAGACCCGCTCCTATGTAATTATAAATAACGAATTCTAAGGCAACGCAAATATTATGGTTAAATGGCTGAGCTCATAGGTGATGATAAATAACATAGTTATGTATAATATATTAAATTTCTGACTTTATATCCCTGTAATTATTACACACTGTAGCTTTAATAAACTAAGCAGCAGCAACCTCCTCATGGATTTTGAGCCCCTCTTCTTTTAAGTCAGCACCTATCCTCAAAAGATTTGGGGGTTTTGTTGCCTTGAATCTGAGAAATGTAACGGCTGGATGAAGCCATTTCTCAGCCCTATAACAAAGTTACTACCATCTATAAAATCAGACACTTCTAATGCAAAGTTAACATTTTTTAAAATGTGTCTATTTTGAGTTATATTCAAGTACTTTTGAACCTCGTTAAGATGAGCGCATTTTGTTTATGTTCTGATGCGTAAAATCCTAAATCTGAAAGTGTGTGTAGTTTTATATTTCGTATTATCTGATTCTGCTTGTTTTTCTTGGGAGGAAACTCACCGCCTTCCCCCCCGCCTCCTCGTTGCTCACTTGTTTCTTCGACTGGGCTCTGCATACCTGATGGTAGGCTGCTATTTACCTCCAAGACTGAGGGAGAAAAACAGAGAGAAGTAAATGATTAGCCTTGGACAGTGAACAGTGTTACGTCCCTCAGGAATTTCCACAGAGTGTATCAAGTCAGCTTCTATTTCCTTCACACAAACAGTGGTAGTGAAAGTCAGGGACACAGTGTCCTGCCTCCCTAAAATAGGCACAAACCTAACATTAGCCGTAACACTGTTACCTTGGCATTAGTATAAAGTATATTCAGCACGTTTCAGCTGAAGGACACAGAGGAGAATGATTACTGCTGGAAAAACAAAACTGTCACAGAGGATGCAAAATATCGCATAAAGTTGGCGACAAAATTTGGAGAGATGAAAAAAAAATGAAGATGTTTTCCATTAATAATTATGTTTAGCAGGCATGGGAGGGTTTGTGGCGGGTCTAAACCTGTCAGGTTACGTATGTAGAAACTCATCAGATTGTCAAAAGAACTTATCACAAATAATGTACAGAGACTGTAGAAATATCTTGCTGTCATTTGTGCGTATGGTTGCCTAGAGCAGTGACTCGCAACCAGGGGCACAAGTACTTGTACTCCTAGTGGTTCATGAGTGCATTGCAAGGAGTTAAAAAATATGTATATTATTTCTCAGGTAATACGATGAAATAGGGCTGGGATCTGTTCTGCTTTGTGAGGACCCATAGAACAAGCTTTTTTCAACCAAAAAATAATTTATTCTTACATATTTGAGTTCACCTTCAGCTTTGACACACAATAAAACTAAGCTGAGGAACAGATTGGATGTAGAAAACAGCCTGGGATCAGCTGATTTTCCACACCTGAGCTCATCAAAGCAAGCTCAGGTGTCCTGAATGACGAAAACAATATAAAAAGATATGGTTTCAGTCTGACTATAATTTTTGTTCAGTATTGTGTTCCCAATTCCTCAAGTTTAAAGGAAAAGTCGGTAATATTCAGAATACAAACTTCTGAAAGTAATTCAAATATGAAATTATTCCATACTGTTTAATAAATGATAAGTGTTTTAATTAAGAGTAATTTCATCTGAATGTGCATTACTGTAGACATCCATGTTTGTCAAAGAACACTACTGCCACCTACTGGTTTGTGACGTCACGGTGCGGTATCGGCTGTTGATCAAGGCCTAGTGCTGTATCTGGTGTTTGTCACAACGCGCTATTATCCAAGTCATCTTGAAAACATTCTTCTTTCAAATGTTGGCTACATATTACGTGTTTTTTCTCTGGCCAGAAGTTCGATGGCAAATCCTCCCTCTTCAAGTTGGCAATCCAAATTTTTTTTTCTTTTCACTTTTACCCGATGTATTCCAACATCCAGCTGCCATGCATGTGGGCATTGTCAGTTTCACTATAGCTCTGGTGAATTTCAATGGTGAAGTCCTCTGGAAATGTTCAATAATTGTTGTTGATTGCAGATGTGTCCAGTAGTTCCCATTGATTTTGCTTGTAAAGCAGGGAGAATGGCGCTAGGCTTACCGCACCGTGACGTCACTGCCGGATGATGTCAGGAGTGAGGCACTATATTTGGGCAAAAACGGCCGCTCCCAGACTCAGTGATCACAACGAAAATTCATGTTCAGACAAAATGCCCAAAGGGGTTAACAAGTCTAAAAACATGGGGAAACTAGCCTGGATGTAGGATTAGGCCACTTCCTGGGAAACGTTGCTACCACAAGCTGGGAGGTCAGGATATTTCCTACCTGCATGCCAGGAAGTAGATTCAATTAGGACTTACTCACACAGTGAAGTCTGACCTTTGTAATGCGCTCTTCATGGTCAGCTGCCACACTTTCTAGTTCTGCATCTCACATGTCTTATAATCTCATTAAACAGCAACATTGACGGTAATGCCAAGCTGGTTAGCTCTGTCCAGGAGGATTGGAACTAGTTTGGCCTGGGACTATGATCAGATAGTAAGGAGTGACAGTAGGGGAACTAGATCTGCTTTTCTTTTAAGTATCTTGTCTTTGCACAATGTCTTCTTGCATCTCAATAGACTAGAGTATGACTGAGAATGTCTTTTGATTTAATGATTATTTCTGAATCTTTGAAATAATAAACAAAGTTGATTGCATCCAGCAACAGGAATTAATAGTAAAGTTATACATTTTCTTTATATATATATATATAATTGATGTGTAATCAATCTAAATTAGTTTAACTTTTTATACAGAACCACATAAATAAATAACGTGTTTAAATCATTGGTCATTTACTACCTGATTTTTTTCCAGTCATGAATAGAATCTGGCCTTCCTTCTGGGGTTTCAATCAATCATGTTTAGTCATTGCTAATTTTTCCAACTTCAGGGGTGTTTTGTGCTTGCTTTGAAAGCTGATGATTTGATGTATTTTACTTTAACCTGTCAGAGTTTTCTGCGAGAAAATGTGATAATATGGCTCAACTGAATCATTATTTCCATCAGGCGATCACTCAGAACTCTGGTTTCATCAGGGGAAATAATCTGTTCTATAACAAGAGAGATAACTGTTCAAAATTGGCATCAGAACCACCATTGAACAAAACAGCATGCTATAAAAGACCTTGAAAAACATTTGTATTAGATTAAATGAGATTTAAATATAATGCAGTATATAGAGAAAATCTGTGTATGTTTCAAAACTAGATTGCAAAAAGAAAACACCCATGATGTCTTTGAAACCTAAATCCAAAAATAAATACCGGTAATTGTAATAATTAAAAATAAGTTGTGTTTAATGTTAAGTGTTTTATATTACTTTTAGCCATCCAATTAAAAAAGAAAATATACTGCTGTAGTTAGAGTGAGAGAAGTTTGGCTCCAGAAATTAATTTTTACAACTGTTGCAGTTAAATCTAAGCTATAGAAAATGATCAGCTTAAAAGACTCTTTAAGTAAAAAGATGTGGAAAGACGGTCAGGAGAAAATAAAAACAATGTTTTAGAAAATTTGATAACTTGTAACACTTTTCAAACCTTTATAGGGCAAGTTACCGTTTTTGATCACTTGCATACCCCTTACAAATATCCCTCCCCGTCCCTCAGTGATGTCTAGAAGAACAAGATCTATATCCAGCCATTCAGCAAAGATACTGCTGCATGGCTGTACATCTTATTTTGGCATTTGATCAATTAGATGAACCCTTGAATGATATATTACCTATTGTACATTAAGTTTTGTAAAAAAGGTTACAAGCTAATAAAAAAGTTAAAAAGCCTAGTTAACAATTATAGTTAGGTAATGACAATAATGTAATGTCATCAGGAAACTAAGATGTGAGTTGAACTGGTTTAATGTAAACATCAATACCGCATAATGACTGTTAGTCACAGCATAATTTAAAGAAGACAAAAGTGTCAGCGATGAAATGTTTGCCGTTTTGGTGTCGATTGAACATGCAATGCAGCAGATGTTCAGAACACAACTTTCTGCAGATGGTCCAAAATGGTAGACTGATAAAGATTAGGCATGTCTGTAATTTAAACATTAAAAAATAGCTTTTTTTATTTTAGATTTTTTTTTTTTTTTTCACTTAACCTCTTAAACCCTAAGGGGATATAAATAAATTTCTGCCTGACAAAAACACACAAAAGTAAATAACTTATAGCCTCAAAGCTATTAGATTTAAGAAGAAACTTTTGGTACGTCTGTAAAGGTAAGATGTCATAGAATGGTTTTCTGGTGTCAGCACCATTGTAGCTTTGACCCTGCCTGAAATATTAGGGACAAAATACAAAATATTTTGCAATTTTTGAACCTCGCCAAAATTTTCTTTGAAATAAACATTGCAAAACACTACCAAAATATTATTTATAGCACAAAAAAGTAGTACAGACTTTCAAATCTAAATGTTGTGTAAAAATATACAAAATGTGGACTCAATCAGATGAATCATATTTATTTTAGAATGGTATTAGTGAGAAATTTCTTAGGCGGAGAGGCCATTTTGGCACATTTATCCATAAATGTCACCAAACTGTGCCAAATATGTTTTTTACATCAAAACTGGGGGTTTGGTAAAACTACAAGGTCATGTAGCAGCTGGACCCGCCGGTGGGTCCGTAGGGTTCAAGGGGTTAAAGAAACTTGAAATTACCAACAGATTGTTACTTTTTTCTCTTTTTATTCAGAAACAGAAAATCCAAGGAGCCAACCATACGCTATTAATGACTTTGAACATTGAAAATGTCAGTTATAGTAGCAGCCATTCAAAATGGCCCCTCCCAGCCTTCCTGCCTGCAGCTGTCAGCAAAATCCCCTCCAACTTCCAGCCAGTGGAGTGACCCCCCTCTTGGATATTTTTTTTTTTTTTACTCTGACTCCAACCTTTCACTGAATTACAGGGTCTGACGACCAGGAGATGACGCTTCTCTTTAAATCTTAATGTCCACAAATCATGACAAAAATAATATTTTATTACAAAGTTTGATGTTTAAAAAGGAATTGTAGGGGACCAGCCAAGGGCCCAACGAGGAAAGTGGGGAAATTTGTAATGGCTACTATTGTATTTCAATAACCAAGTGATACAACAGGTTTTTTAATCTTATTTTTGATTCTTTTACATTAAACGTGACATAATCAGAACATTACATCAGCCAACTAATATAACACTATAAATACAAAAATGTAGTGCAGTGAAAGGTATGTTTAATACCTTCTCAGAGGTCCTTTTCTAATAAGTAATTTTTATCCAAGCCTGATCAGAAGGCTAATTTATGAAATATATATTATATTTGTGCATCTTGTGAATATTTAAGAGAATCCTTTCTAAAAAAATACTTGGACCTTACCCAGAGGCGGTTAAAGCTCATCCTTACAGTTTCTGCTTTGTAACAGTTACTGTGGATGAAAACCTGAAACTGAAAAATGTAGATAAACATGGCTATGTGTGTGTTTGTTTGCTTTTTTAAAATGTTTTTATATTTAGACATATGCAACTGCTCATATCTAAATAACCTAAACAAATATCCCGGCGCTTTACTGTGACGCATGTGTCTCCCTTCCACTACCACAAACTGT